AATAATTCAGTTCTTAATAAATTGGACGCTGTTGATTAGCATTAAAATTTCTCTTTAATATATCAAAGTACAGCAAAAACTACCTGCATCTTTTCTTTAAATTTTATGATATATCTACCAACCTCATTCGAAACAAATTTTCAGCTAAAATGTCATCAAAATATAAGAACTGAGAAGTTTAAAGATGATCGTAAGATCCTATCACTAAAACTATTTAACAATATAATACAGGGTTTTGCAAAGTTTTAAGTGCATGTTTGCTAAGTTATAAGTGCATGTTTGCAAAGTTTTTATTGCACGATTGCAAAGTTATAAGTGCATATACATTTTTTTGGAAGCTATTTTTTCAGCTTTAAAAATATTGCGCAAAATATTAAGTTAAATTACAGCAAAGCAATCTATAAGTTTTTTTTTTTTTTTTTTTTTTTTTAATTTAAAAAAGTGATTAGTTAGTGAAAATTCTTTACATTTTTACTAAATCTAGCATATTGTTTTATATCAATAACTTTTCTAGAGAAGATACTTTCATAATTTTAAAAAAATAATATACATTGATTTATCATAATATTTAATATAATATAAGGCATGCAAAAATATACATTATTAAAAAAAATAAACAAATCATTTTGAATATTTTACAGGGTTATTCATTCTTATATGCGCGTCTATTCATTTTTATATGTGCCTTTATTCATTCTTATATGCGCTTTTATTCATTTTTATATGCGCATTTATTCATTCTAATATGCGCATTTATTCATTTTTTATATGTGGTTTACAAAGCAATTATAAAAAAGCAATTTGAACCAAAACAAATCATTTAATAAAATCATTGAAAAAACAGTTTATTATTTCAAAGCAAACTTTTCTTATTTTCTGGTAAACGAGTTTGAAAATACTTAAGACGAAGACTTTTTACATTCGTTGATGGTTTATTTAATTTAGTATTAGTTCTTAGTTTAATTTTATTACATTGTATTAAATTGTATTATTGTATTAAATTTCTTGATTGATTAAGTTATTTTTTATCTAATTATTTTTCTAGATTTATTATTTAATTTTTATAATTATTAATATCAAATTTTTACCCTATGGATGGAATAGAAAACAAGGAAAAATGTTACAAAAGAGCACATTGAAATGCATAAGCAACTAAAGTTGAAAGAAATCAATCTACAACAAGCATTTCCACTTCTCTTAATTTATCGATAAGTTAAACAGAGGAGAATTCGACGACATGACTGCATTCAAGTCGTCTTCTGATAAAAAACGAGGTGAAAGACCTATACACGCTCAAATAAAAAATATTATCGAATTATGCGTACAAGAAAACAATCTTTGCACGCAAGAAGCAATAAAAGAAAATCTTTCTGCAGCAGGCTTCAACATGTCTCAGCCTACTATTTCAAGAAAACTCAAACGCTCGGATTTATCAAGGAAACGTGTTGTGCATGTGCCAGAAGAACGAAATTCAACACGAATTTTTAATGCACGCTGTGCATTTGCAAGCGAAATTAACGGAATTTCAGATGAAAAACTTATTTATTTGGATGAAACTGGATTTAATGTGCACACTAACAGCACATATGGTTATTCGCTAAGAGGTGCGACAGCAATTTTACAGTCACCTGCAAATCGTGGCAAGAATGTTAGTTTAATTTGTGCTGTTTCAACAATGAGAGTGCTTGCTTATGAAACAAAAACTGGAGGCTGGTATGCAGATTCATTTTGTACTTTCATAACTACAATGATGGCACCAGCGATTAGGAATGCAAATGTGGAAGCGCCGGTGCTTGTTATGGACAATTGTAAATTCCACTGGAGTCTTTCTGTTAGACAAACACTAGCCTCTCATGGTATAGCTATTAAGTATCTGCCAGCTTACACGCCACAGCTTAATCCAATAGAAAAAATTTTTTTTTCTTTAAAACATACTTACAAACAGGGAGAAAGGCCTCGAAATACGGATGAGGTAATCAGGATACTTAAAAATATTATGGACACTACAGAGTTTAATATAGTCCCATTTTAAAACCATATGCGTAGTTATATAAATCCAGCGTTGGCTCGGCAACCATTTCTTAAATAAATAACAATGAAAACAACTTAATTCATATTTTAAATATATCTATATAAAAATTTAAAAGCGTATTTATCGTTTTTTATTAAATTATATTAGAGATTTTATGGGTGGTTGACGCTTATACAAACGCACATATAAAAATGAATAAATACGCATTTAAAAATGAATAAAGGCGCATATAAAAATGAAAAAATGCGCATATAAGAATGAATATAGGCGCATATAAAAATGAATAGACGCGCATATAAGAATGAATAACCCTGTAATTAGGTAAATTCTTCTCTTCTTATTGCCTTTTCCAACCATCTTCTCATATTTATATAAAAGGCATTACACTGTTGATTATAAATATTATCAGGTGATAAAATATATTCTAGAGTTACTTCAACAGTCAAATTGGGATTAGCATTTCTTGTGGATTTGAAATTGGATTTTAAAATTGAAAAGAACTCCTCGATTGAGTTCAATTCAGGGGAGTATGGTACTAAAAACTTGTGAGTAATATTTTTTTCTCTTAGTAATTGAAGTACTACAGCTGCTTTGTGAAATTTTGCATTATCTAGGATAAAAATTTTATTTGGATTTACCTCAAAGAACGGTACTAGTTTGTTGTTGATGAAATCAATAAATGATTGTGCATTGTACGCGCCGCTTTTGTATTGGTAACATTCAACTCCTAAATTGGAAATTAAGCACATGAGGCTAACATTCTGTTCTTTATTTGCAGGAACTGTCGAGTACGCTTTTGTATCTTTTGGAGAATAGCCATATGCAGTGCCGGATTAAAGCTTTGTTGGCCCTAAGGCACATTTTAATAAGTGGCCTGAAAATACAGATAATAGGAATTTTCTCACAAAAAGAAGAAAAGCAAAATTTAAAAAAGAATATTTCTTAGGCAAAAACTACATTATTTTAATTTATTTTAACTTTCGCGCTTTTATAACTGCAAATTTGTCAATTAGTTCTTTGAAGTTGACCTTGTTGAGCAAATCACATTCAATGCACAGAAGTGAAGGTAGAGAAAGACGCTGTTGAGCCATTGTTGATCGTTTTGCATCTTTAATTCTTTTCAATTGAGAAAACAAACGCTCTCCTGAACAATTGGTTGACATCAGCATAAATAGATCCGGAGTGCTTTTTCAGTATTTGGAAATGCTTGATATACACCAGAATGGTGCAGCATTTTAAACATCTTCTGAGCACTTGAATCAAATTGATTCTGTGCACTTGATCCTTCTTTATTGTTTCTCTGTTCTTCATACCAGCACATAAATTGTCTAAATTCTGTTGGAAAATCAGAATAAAGGTCTTTCGAGTACACAGTAACCATTCCTTTAACAGCAATGTCAATATCTTCATCGGTCATGGAGTCATACTCAGTCAGAACTCTAATTCTCTGCAGCACAATTGAGTAAGTTTTAATGCGTTTCTTTAATGCATTATTCAGCTGATCGATGATGACATAGAAGGTATTGACCTTGAAGTTTTGCTGGCTTGACATCCCTTTTATAGCATCTGCGACATCTCCATCATTGATTTGTCTCTTACGCTTTGGTTGTCTTCGACTTTCAGATTTATATGTGCTGTTGCCACAGCGATCACCTGCCTTCTGATTATAATCATCAAACTTCTCTCGGCATTCATCCAAAAATATATGCAAGCTCTTCAGCAGACCAATAGCTGGAGTTAATTCGATTTTAGAAACTTGCAATAACTTAAGTTGTTGCAAATAACTTAAGTAATTGCAATAACTTAAGTTATTTATTAATCAGAATGGTAGCACAAGGAATAAGGCGGGTTCATGGGCCAAACACATGGATACTATTGAAGTTGCCCTATTGTGTAAACTTTGGAATGACATTCAGCAGAGATTCAACATTAATAGGAATTGCTATTAATTATTATGCTACTATTCTGATTACAATCCTCTGAGATCTCCTGAAGAACACTTTGTAATTGGTGGTACCCCTTGAACACTGCTTTTGCAGCATCAGCTCGAGCAGACCACCGGGTATCTGATGGGTATTTTGGAACAAGGCACTCTGGTTGGTTTTTAACATGGGTTATTATGACATCCCAACGATGTGTTAATGCTACAAAGAAAGTATACAATTGCGATTCAATATGTTAAAAAATGAAACTGCTTCAACGCAACAATCCACAGCTGACTGGCCAACTAGGTTCAACGAGTGGGCAGCACAAAGAATGTAGTCCACTAATCTGTTTATGTTTTTCGAGATTTGTTGCATGCCAATATATTTACTAGACATATTGCTGGCATTATTATATGTCTGACAATGTCGGCAATTTTTGTAGTCGATGTCCTAATCTGACAAGTACTGAAGCAGTGTGTCAGCAAGATTCTGCCCTGTGTGACTGGATATATTGATATTGTCAAAAAACACTCGACAGGCTGGTAATCTACTATATTAATATAACGAAGAATGATAGTCAGCTGGTCACAATGGGTAATATCAGGAGTGGAATCTACTGAAACTGAAAAATACCGTGACTTTGAAATCTCATCCTTTATGAAACCCGTAACTTGTTCACCCATCATTGCAATTAATTCTTCACAGATTGTTTTTGATAAGTATGATGTGTGTCCGCGTCCGCGATTGCCATGAGTACAGATGTGCTGGGACAAAAATGGATCAATTTGACCAATCATCTCCAAGATGCCCAAATAATTTCCATTTTCTCTGGAGCCAACAACTTTATTGCTACCTTAAAGAGGGAGACCTCTCTCACTAAGAAAAGTAATAGTTGCAACACAGAGTGACATGACATTTCTCCAGTAATTGCGCTGCTCCAACATATTGTTGTGCAACTGCTCGACAACTCTCCCAGCAGCAATACTTCTTTGACATAAAGTATGAACTGATTGTATGCGCTTTGCACTGATTTCATGGGATTTTTAGAATTGTGTCATATTTTTCCAATCCTTAAATCCTAAGCCAGACAACTGTGACCGGTCAGATGAAAACAGAATGCAGGGAAAGCAGAAGACACATGTCTTGGCTGGAGAATAAACAAGCCAGTCAAGATCAACGATATCACCATTTGGCAAAACCCGTATGAAGACACTATAATTTAGGAAGCGATTCACTCCACTGTATTTCCGCTTTGTTTCGGGATAACTGTCTGCCAAGTTTCGAAAATGGATTGTTCTAAGGGTGATGCACATGTTACGCACATGATCTTTTATGTCATCAAAATTCCCAATATCATTGGGAATGGTTCCTGAACCAGTATCAGCTCCGTCTTCAAATTTTTCAGTATGTTTAAGTCCAAATGCAATTTTTGCAACCTCATCCTTGTGATCAATACCTACCTGAGATGTTGATGAGGATGGTGGGGAATTGAAAGTAATATTATCAGTAGCATCAACCTTGTTTGTGGCAGTAAAAAATAAATTGATTTTGGGTATTTTCTTTAACAGTTTATCTTCATCATGCATTTTCTTCTCTAACTCCTTCGCTCGAACAAAAAAGCTATACCTATTTCTTTCTGCAGAAAATGTGATACTTTTTTCTTATTTAAACCTACTAATAAATTTAAAGGATTACAATTTTATAACAATAGTTATATCTAAAAGTATGTTTATTTGCTAAAAGCATTAATTTTATTACTACGCTTTGTTATTGTTTACGAAAGAGTTCCACTGTTTAAAACAAATGTTATCGAATTTCAAAAATATAAAAAAACACCATATTTTTCGAATATTTTATTCGAAAAGAAAATAATTATCACTGATAAGAATGAATTAGTTACAATTTTTGACATCGTAAAATTGATATATGAACAAAATGTGTATAATATTTGAAATAATTATAATAATTTCATCAATTTAGATAACACATAAAAATGAATTTAGGTATAATTTTTTTGTGGCCTGGATTTTTTGCTGGCTTTAAGGTATGTGCCTTAATTGCCTAACGGTTAATCCGGCATTTAAATTATCGATCTCCTTTTTTTCTAGTTACTTTTACATTAAATTTAAACAACTGTAATTCATTATAATGAATTGATTACAATTTTCTTTATAATTATTTGTTCTTGTAAGCTTGGCATTGTTAGAAAAAAAAAGATTTGTTCAAAATTATGCAAAATTACATTGTCCCATGTCAATACAGACGTTGTTTAATATTACTAAAAAAGTTTAAAAGTCTATGATATAAATTTTCTTCAACCTAAAAAATGACTTTAAAACAACTATGAAAATTAAAGACGGAAAAATTGCGATAATTGGAGCTTGGAAACAACATAGCCCCAAAATTTTTGCTTAGCGTTCAAAAATTATAACAATATAAAATTTGCAACCCCCTCAAATTGAGTTTTTTTTTTTTTTTTTTGTATGTATTTAGGTGCTCCCAGAAGTCCTTACGGTCTTATCATAGAGCACTGCGGGAGAGCATTTAACAGGAAGTTCGCGCCTCCTTCCGTACCAGTATCGCTTGTTGGGCTAGAGCTGGCGTCGAACCTCGGACCTCTGGGTTTGATGATATACCTATTACTCAAAATCAAGTTGTGATTCTTCCGTCTTCCCGTCATCCTTCCTTCCCGACCTCGAAGTTCATGACGAGGTTTATGACGTCATGAGCGTATCATAATAATTTTTTAATCTTTTAAAATCAAATTAATTTTTTCTTTTGTTTAAAGGTAATCAAGCCCTTTCGAGGTTTATGACGAGTTTATGACGTCATGAGCGTATCATAATAATTTTTTAACTTTTTAAAATCGAATTAATTTTTTCTTTTGTTTAAAGGTAATCAAGCGTTACAAAAAAATATATAAAAAAACATTTTGTCAAATTAAATTGTTAAAAAATGCCAAAAGCACAAAAAATGTCAAAAGTAAAAAAAATGGAAGAGAATAAAAAAAATAAAGTTAAGGGGGCACAACCCCATAAATAAAAAAATCTTTAATTTTGATATTTAAATAATTTTTTTTATTTATTAAGTAAATTCATAATAAAACTAAGATTAAAAAAAAAAAAAAAAAAAAAAAAGAAGGGGTTGCCCTGTGGGGCAATTTTTAGGGGGGAAAAACTTAAAAATTGACCATTTTGTGGCAAAAATATTTCAAAATGCAGAAGGTCACATAGAATAAAATTTGGCATTTAACTAGCCTGATGTTAGAGGTATGCAATGAACCTCAAAAACTTAACAACTTACTTATTCCTTGGGGTCGTGCTTTATTTGTTTAAAGGATACAAAAAAAACGATATTTTTATCCCCCATAATGACCGAAAAATCGTTATATTTTATTTTTAACACATATATTCTTATAATTTTGAGGTTTATTGCACAACCTTGTACATAATAAACAATCTGTCAAAATATGAGAAGTTTTAATCAAACCGTTTTTGAAATATCTTTGCCACAGTCAGGCAAAGTTAAGAAAATGTGGAAATCTTAGAAAAAAAGGTTTAAAAAAAAAAATTATGTTAACTCTATTGTTAATAATAATTATATTTGTCTGGAGCCTTTTTATCTATTAAGTATTGCACTGTAGACTATATTCAAACAATAGATGTACTTTATTTTTCAAAAGTCAGATTTAATAACCCTTTTCTACTTGCGAATGAATAAAAAGCTAAAATGGTAAAAATTTTTTACTTTTCCCTGTTAAATGCCATGTTCATATAAACAGGTATGATAAAACTAATTTGATATAAACATTTAAAACTTCCTGCTCCATATGACAAACCCTCATTATTTTTATTTTCACTTCTCTTACTCTTTTTAGCTCCACGCAGAAACTTGCGACGCATCCTATACTTCTCACCATTTTTTCGACTTGCATTTTTTAATCGTGAACGATTTCTTTCTTTGCAACTAAGCTCAGTGTAGCTGCCTCACTCCATCTGCATTTTATAATATATTTTTAATGTTGCTAAATTTCCAATATTAAAATGAGCAACTGCATCATAAGCAGCAATTTCCAACTGTACTAGTTTTACAAATGCATCTTTTGGAACACGATTCCATATTGTTGCATTGAAAGACTCGAAAGCAATTCCTAATTTCTGCTTTTGATTAAGCTTTACTGAATTATGTGAACACTCTGGGCACAAAAGAATCTTAAAAGTTTTAGCTAACAATTCCATATCAACTATTCGGTTGCCTGTAATGTTTTTTGAACAGCAGTTATCAACAACTTTAACCATTGAACCATTTAACTTTGTATAAGAAACTGTTGTTGCTATGTTTTCTTTATTTGTAACTTTAGAGTTTTCAGTAAAATTTTTAGAGAGTTGGTTGCCATAAAACTTCCTACTTTTATGTCTTTTAGATCGAAACTTACAAGATGATTCCATTTCAATTTGTAAATATTTTTCATTTTGTAAATATTTTTCATTTTAGTTATACTAGTTACATAAATATACAAAGCAATAGATAGAAAGCTTATAAATAGCATAGATAGATAAATATACTTAGCAAAACAGCATAGAAATTATCTTATAAAGCATACTACCTTGTTATAATACTGAAAAATAAAAAAATATATAAAAACCAATATTGTAAAACATAAACAAACATTCTAACAAGGCCGGTCTGTCAAATCAGTAGTTTAATTAGTTAAATAACTCCATTATGCTTATTAGGTTGAAGATTTTTAATGACATTCAAAAGTAGGTTGCCGATTTTAATAAAAATCCAGACCAAAATAAAATTTGCGCATGCGTTTTATCGCCTACTTTTAGATGTTATTAAATATCGCTAATCATGTTGTTCATGAAATAAGCTTTTACTCTCCTTTTGGCTTACATTGTGCTCGAGACTAAGCTAAATGTTTATAAATTTTACTATGTGCATAAAAGCAAAAGATTTTAGATTGGTTTTATTTAATTACGTTGAAAGTGTTTAAATATAACACATCAAATTTTATGAATATTCGTCATAAATATATTTTTTGCCATACTTTTTATCACAAAGCTATCAATTACTGAACATTTAATAAGATCTACATAAGGTTAAAATGTATTTTCTGATTTGTATTTTGTTATTCTTTTATTAAGTTAATTTTTTAAATTTAAAGTATAATTTGAACTTTTTCTTCAAACATTTACTTATGTGAGTATTTTATAAGTTCTCCTATATAAGTAGTGTCTATACAAATATATATAATGGTATAATATATATATATATATATATATATATATATATATATATATATATATATATATATATATATATATATATATATATATATATATATATATATATATATATTTGAGTATAATTATTTTTATAATTCTATAATCATTTTGAGAGCACCAATGCTGGTAACGTTATATTATTTACATAATAATTGATTGCGTTGGTTGTAAAACTCTTTTAAAAATATCTATAAAACAAATAATTATCAGAAAGTATGAGTAAATATATAAATACATACATTTATGTATATACATACATATATATATACACAAATACTTATGTATTTATATATATATATATATATATATATATATATATATATATATATATATATATATATATATATATATATAAATATATATATATATATATATATATATATATATATATATATATATATATATATATATATATATATATATATATATATATATATGAAAGTATGCATATATATATGAAAGTATGCATATATATATGAAAGTATGCATATATATATGAAAGTATGCATACATACTTTCATGTTTGACACATCTCTTGGCAGCCATTGTAATCGAGGTAATGGCAAGAAAGAGTCACAGCACTTTTTAATTAGAAAATCTGAACAAAACTTTATCAAAATATCTAATTTATTTAAACTTTAAATAATGAAATTTTTAAACATATATCAAGTTTTACAGTTTAACTTTTACTTAAAAATTGAATTGCATCTCTTTAATTTTTATCTGTAGCATTTATCCCTCGTTTTATAAAGTCTTTTGCTTGTTGAATAATTTTAAAATGCTCATCAGACAACACTCCTGTGTGGCCGAGTGGTTAGCTTGCAGAGTTCCAGAAGCAAAACACAGTGGTTCGATTCTATTTATTTTTTATTCTAAAATAAAAAAATAAAACACTTTTGAAGTTTTATAGATATTATATATATAACCTATGTGAAGGTATTATACAAAAAAGCCTAAACTTTCTAAAACATTAAAACACCAGCAGAAATATTTTGCGCATATATCAAGACAATTATATTTTTAATGTGCTTAAGTAATAAGTCTTAATAGGCTGCGGATGTTCTGAAAAAAAATATTCTCTAAAACTTAATAAAGAAGTAAAATAATAAGACCATCCTGCTACTCCAAAAGGTGCTGCTATGGGGCAAAAAAAAAAATAGCCATTATCTAGCAAAAACTTTATTTTAACAATTAATATTTTTTTTTGCTGTCTAACATATTATTAATGTAGATAAGAAATAAAATAAAACCAAAGTTAGAACCTTGTCCCAGAAGTTATTAGAAAGAAAAGTGTTGTCCTTTAAGGATGACTTTAATAAAGCGGTTAAAAAGAAATAATTTGATAATCTCAAAAACTTTCCTAGATACAACATATGAAACAAGCTTATGGAGAAGACCAACATTCTAAACTTTAGTTGAAAGCCTTAGATATGTCAAGTGCAATAGCCCTAGCATCTCTGTCTTCATTTAATGCACAATCAATTTAAAAAATCGCAACAGTGGAGCAAGAGGATAAAAAACAATATTGTCTGACATCAAGTTATTCGATTCAAGATGGAATGTGAGAAATTTATTACAGACTCAAAGACCTTCCTTATAACAATAAGAAGACTGATAAGATGATAATTGAAATTGTTTTATCATAGTTATTCTTTTACTATTTAGTTTAAATTAATACAGTATACTATAAATGTTTAGTGATGGTACTTGTTTTGTTTTTAGTTTATGTTTATTTTAATTTTGTATGGTAAATTGAAATTATTATTTTTTGTTTATATTTAAATTACATTTATATGGTGTGATGCAGCTGTTCTTTTTATATTTAGCTTATATATAATGAAATTTAATTAACATGGTTTAGTGGAGATATTAGTCGTTTTATATTTAAATACTTTAAATAGGTTAATGAATATATATTTTTTTATATTTAGTTTTTATTTAGTTTTAATTAAATTATACAGTATTGTCCGATTCTTTTAGTCCGAAATTAGTTTGTATAATTTGGATACTTGAGCCCCGTAATATAATTGATACATGGGAAGAGTAGGTATAACACCATCAATTCAAAACTTCCCAAAACTTCTTACAAGATTAAAAACAACAGAACTTTTTCTTGTGTTTACATAAAAAAAATTATTATTAAATGGATAAATAAAGTAGAGAAAAAAATAAAAAATTAATTAGAAATCTGGTTATGGCAGGAATAACTATTATTAGTTTAAATGTTAAAACCCAAACAATTATGATTGTCATCGCTGTGTTAAAGATAATGTGATAAACAAATAACATTATATTAGAAAATTACTAATTTTATTATGCATAAGGCACAACAACAGCAGTATTATAACAATAAACATATAATATAATTTAGAAAGTATGCAAAAAATTATTTACAGAAAGGTATAAGAACATTCAGAAAGGCTTTAATAAAGAAGGTAATATCAAAAAAACTTTAGAAAGATTAAAATATTAAAAGCTTATTTCACATATAGTTATCTAAAATCACCCAACAATTTTATAAAGTAATACTGATAGCTTGTATAGATTAGCCGTAAGTTTTTTTTTTCGTTTCAAAATATTATTATATACTGAAGTTCATTTAAATTTGTTTATAACTATCGGGTAGACACGGAATAATCCGATCATCTTTAAATTGAGATTTCTCCAAAACCACAAATGCTTTTTATTTAATTTTTTTTTTTTATTAAACCTTACTTCCTTATCTTAAATGGTGTTGATAAATTTTTGTGTACAAATTAATGATTTCCTATCGCTTGGTTGCTAAACGCACAAATGTCCCAAAATCTACAGTCATAGATATTATAAACGAGTTGAAGACTACTCAAAGCTTCGAAAGAAAACTTGGAAGTGGAAGAAAAAAAACTTTCCATAAATCCAAAAAGGTAAAGTCGATTTTACGTTCAAATGCAAGAAATCCAAATCAGTCACAGCGAGATCTAGCAAGAAAATTTAAGACTTCTCGTTCTTATATCAAAAAAGTATTTAAAAATGCTGGAATTAAAGCATTTCATAAAAAAAATACACTTAAGAGAAGCTTAAATTGTGAAATTAAAAGAATTCGACGCGCAAAGAAGTTGGTTAAAATAATGGCGGATAAAAATATGTGCATAATTGAAGACGACGAAACGTATTGCAAGGCGGATTTTTCACAACTTCCTGGTCAACAGTTTTACTATGAAAACAAAGATAAACCTGTCAATGATCAATTTAAACATATTTGACGAGAAAAATTTGCATCCAAGTTACTTTTGTGGCAAGCAATTTGTAGCTGTGGTATGCAGTCCTCTTGTTTTGTCACTAAAAAGACCTTGACTGCCAATCTCTACATCAAAGAATGCCTCCAAAAAAGACTTTTGTCTTTTATAAAAAAACACAAATACCGATGTCTCTTTTGGCCGGATCTTGCTGCCTCTTACTATTCTAAAAAAGTTTTACAGTGGTGCAAAGATAATAATGTGAAAATTGTTCCTTAAGATGCGAATCCTCCAAATTGTCCTAAAGAACGCAAAACTGAAGATTTTTGGGCAATAGTTAAAGGAGTTCTTCGTAAGAAAGGTGGACTAACAAATAATAAAAAGGACTTCCAAAAAAAGTGGATTAATACCACCAATATGGTGAAAAAAGAAAAAATCTGTAAAATGATGGCATCAACCCGCTATAAAGTTCGATTTCTTGCCAAGCAACCCATCAAGCTCCTTAAAATTAAGTTGAAACTCTAATTTGTGTAAACACATTTAATAATAAAAAAAATTGAAATAAAAAGCATTTATGGTTTTAGAGAAATCTCAATTTAAAGTTGACCGGATTTTTCCGTGTCCACCCGATATAACTTATTATAGCTTTTTAAACTTAATTAAGGTAATTAATCTATTAAATAATAACAAAAAATACAACAAAAATGTTGAAATTCGTATAATTTCCTTTACATAAATTTTTTCATTTAATTTTTCTTAGACCTATGATGCCAACTTACGATGGAACTTCGCCAAATATTAATAAGATGAACAATTGTGGAACACAGTTTTATTTACTGACGAGAGTAAATTTAATATTTTCGGACCTGATAGGCGTGGAAAAATATTGAGAAAAATAATGCATAACTAGAAAAAAAAGATTTAATTCCGATGATGAAACATGGAAGTGGAAGTGTGATGGTCTGGGGATCGATGGGTGCAGCTGTAGTGGGGACTTCGGTATTTATTTCCGCTGGATGTATATTTAGCGTTATAAAATATAATTCGAAATCGCATGATTACAAAATTAAAGTTGTGAAATAATTAGATATTTCCACTAGATTATGATTCGAAACACACTGCTCATGTTGTAAAATCATGGTTTCTCTACAATGTTCCAAAACAACTGCATCCCCAATCACCAGACTTTAACTCAATAGAGCACGTGTGAAATTATTTTGAAAGACAAGTCAGGAAACAGAATAACAAATGTTAATATGCTTAAAAATATCTCACTAGAATCATGGAATAAAATACCGTCTTCTTATACCAAAAAAATATTGTCATCGATGAACAGAAGAATAAAAGAAAAAACTTGTCTAAATGCCAAAGGATATTCAACAAAATACTAAAGATTTTTTTATTTTTCATATTCTTGTGTTTTTTATGATTCTTGTTTAGTGTAACTTTTAAGTGAACTTATAAAACTTTTTTGACATAAAAATTCAATAATTAAACTTTTTTAGTTTTACAAATAAATATATTTTCTTAGTTAATTATTATTATTTTTTATTTCTTGTACGATATATTCTTGTTACTTTAATAAAAAAATATTTTTTTGCTCTTAAAATGGTTTTTAAAGTGATTCTTCTTAAGTCATTCCTCTAAATTGTACTCTAAAGCGTACGAAGGCTTTTGTGACTGACTGTATTTATTTATACAGAGCCGGCGCGAGTTGATGTCTAAAAGGGTCAGACTCGCCGACTAAATGAGCGAAAAATACCTTAATGAGAGGGGATGTCACACTCCTCACCCCCTTCGCGCCGGCCTTTTGACTCCTACTTAACCTAAAATTTGCGCAAGACTTCAAAGATCTATTAAGTAAATTTAAATTGAGAGTGAGTCTTTAAAAATAGAAGTCTACCAGAAGTGTATCCAGCCAGATTTGTATATTATCCGGTCTCCTGTATTCTTCCGAATAATAAAATAATTGGATATCTCATGTTGATAAATAATAATAAAAAAAGTTATTAGTAAAAATATTTAAAGTAAAAATAATTAAATTAAAAATTTATTTTAAGCCGCAGTCTTAAAGATACACAGTTTAGACTTGATACAACCATTTCGTAATTAACGGAATGAGAGAACCTAGAACGCAAATTCTAAAGTGTTAATCTTTTAAAACAATCTAATGTTACTAGATTCGAAGAAATTGTGTTCAAGTTATATAATTCAAATAAATAAGAATTAACGATGCACAAGAATTATATGTTTTATCACTTATAAGTTTATTTACATTTAAATTTTCTTCGCTCAAGAAATACAGATTTCATCACTCATTTATGAACTTATTTGCATTACTATGTATAAACTGTTATGAATGTATTTGCATTACTTTGTATAAACTGTATTATCTCAACGCGTTTCTCCGCGTTAAGGTAACAGAATTGGTCGCTTTTTCTTATAAATGTTTCTTTATTCAGACAACATTCTCTCTAAAAATGCAGATGATGTAAAAAATGTTTTATGCATTTGTTGTGACTTTATATCATTAATACCCTATATCATGTACGTTAAACAAATTCTTTAATAGAAATTCACATTAGATATGGAATAAAAAATCAACGACATAACTTCGGTCTATCGAAGTTATATGCCGCACGCCGAAATTGTCTATAGACATTTGCTCTCTCATTTTCTTTACGATTCACATTTTCTTTACAATCGACATGCTACTTATCGAATAATCACGTAGAGTTAAAAAGTAATTTTATTTCCTTTTAATACAATTAAAAATGATTTTTTTTTACGTGATCGAGCAGTGGAGTTGTAAGAAACAATTTTTGACCAGAATTATTAGATTCTCTTGCTTATTTTAATTTTACATAGAATAAAAGTTGTTGTCTATTCAGAATAGCTGCTGAATAAATCTGCACGATCCAAATAATCATTTATTAATAAAAATTTAAATAAAATATTTATGCTAACGTAGTAAAGATTTGCGACAGCATAATTAAGTGTCGATATTTGGATCGAATTATCAGGTCATTTTGAAACATTTCGTTAGGTTGAATACGCTGCTTTTATTTGTTGTGATAAAACTCAAAATTTTTCAAAAATGTTACCTACTTTGGAAATTCATTTGTGTACTTTTTAGTGTTGCAAGAGCCACAATTTTCTTGAAATTTCTTATCAATTAATTATGTAATAGTTAACAGAATTTGAAAAACAAAAAAAAAACAAAAAACAATGTTAGCTTTGGGGACGCTGTTTTCTATAAAACAGCTAGCTAACAATATCCAAGCAAACATTTGGTCTTAAAAAGACATTTTAATGTCTTTTAAACGAATTAAACGTTTTTTAATACGTATTAAAGACGTCTATTTTAGACCGAATGTTTGCTGGGACAATACAAAACAATATAATCAG